CTATAACTATCACAATATAAATCTTTTATCTTATATTTGATAATTATAACTATTGATCTCATAATTATTTTGTATATATAAGTATTCATATATACACCCTAATTATGGTTATTTGAAAACATGATATTTAGGCAGAGTAACAACTAGGTACGGTGCATATCCCTATATTTGACCAACATAACTTCTAGATACTACGTTATCCTAGGGATTTGGCCATTATAACATCTAGGTATTATCTCTTCCTAACTATCAGGTATTATATCTCTTAGACATAACATCATTGCTTACAACTAGGCATAATATCTATAGCTATATTATCCCAAGGCTTTAAGTTTTATAAAATAATTTTATATTTACAGATACAAATATCTTTTGATAAAACTATTTGATAAGCATGTATCCCCCCACCCCCCGCGTAAAACATCTAAAATAGTAAAATAAGGGTCGTGAACTCACCCTAGTCGCGTGAAACCTTTGATGTAGGGTTGAATCGGGCTCGGGACTCCGGTGACCGCTCCAAAAGGTGGCAGCTTTGAGATAGAGCGTGAGAGAAAAGATTGAAGGTGTGCAGAAATGGAATGGCACTGCCTTCTATTTATAGTCAAGTTTTGGAGTTGTGCGTCGGGCGAATATCTGCGCGTCGCGCGTGATCATCATGGCTCCACAAGAAGTTGCCACGCGTCACTCCTCCACTCGGCCACGTCTCTCGTAGTTTACTCGAATCTTGTGTCAGCTGCACAACGTGCTGAGACGCGTGCAGATTTTTTTTTGAAAAAATCATAACTTCTTCGTGCGAGCTCCGATCTAAGCCTTCTTTATATTTATGTGATGATCTCAAAGGGTACTACAACTCTCCTTTAGGTTGTTTATGCTAGTTTTGACTTACATTTTTGTGCCTAACGGGAATAAAAATAAACGATTTTACAAAATTCATCTCTCTCTCTCTCTCTCTCTCTCTCTCTCTCTCTCTTACGGATCCCGTTTTCGGCAAACTCTTTCCTAAAGTTTATATCTTGAGGAGTACTACGAAACTCCTTTTTGCACTTTTAGTCAAAACTCAACCAACCTCTAAGTACCGTTTTGACGTAATTAATTTTAATTACGTTGTTGATTTCTATCTTTATAAAATCTATAACTCTTTCCTTTGGATTCGGATTTTTACGAATCTTATATCCTTGAGTTCACGTTAACGAGTACTATCCAAGTGCGTTAACCAACTTAGAAAACGTTACAACTTTTCGGACGCTAATTTTTTAGCCTATTGGACGTTTTAATAAATAAATGTAATGACACATCTGATTCTTATTATCTAAAAAATCAAATATTACAACTTTAAGCTATTACATCTGTTTCCCTACTCTTTCCTGATGGTGATCAGTGACGGAAACCTCTCGGTTGTCACATGTTACACTATCACGGGTCATCTTGGTACGCCATCTTGATTAATTTGATGTGTCATTATGACTCTATTGACCCGCGTATGCTATGTAGTCCTCTTTGATGCTCAGAAGTTACTGATGCTCAAGAAATACATCATGTTGTGCCATCATGATGGATGTTGGGCCACTAATGTTCATGTTGTACCACTATGACACAAGGTGCTCCATCATGTGTGTTGTTGATATACATGTGTTGTATGACATGGAAGAATGTTCTAGAAGATGTTGTATGACGAAATATGATTAGTTGTTACCTTTCATGGGCCTATGGGCCAATAGGCTTGACCCATTATGGTTTTAGATCTAATCCTTCAAGTATAAATATGGATGCATGCTAGATCATTTTGTATCTTGAATTCTAGAGTGTTAAACGAATCTCTGTGAAAATTGTACTTGTAATTTCTGATTGAGAGCTCTGAAATAAAGAACACTCCCCTCCTGCCCGTGCACATAGGTCACCTTGACCGAACCACATAAATATTGTGTCTTGTGTACTTTTAGTTTTACTTGTTATCCGCTTTATTTCCTAACACTTTTTAATTGTAAAATCTTGAGCCTCCAAAAAATTAACTATGTAGAACAATGTGGAAATCCCAATAAATGATTCGTAATTCAAAAATATAAATAAACCTCATAAGGGTATTAAACTCATCGACTTAGAATGATCCATGTTACTCCTTTTTTTAAAGGTAAACAACTTTAAATAAATGACATCGTTACTATTTGTGTGTCTTTACTCTTTGTTTGACACACATTATGCTTGAAGGCCTATTAAGTTACCATTCTACTTTTATTAAACAAACTTTAGAACCTCGCACACAAATTTCATTTAATCAATATATTTGATTATGATTATACTTAAATATTTTAAACCTACGAAAAAGCTCATGCAAATTCCAAACACCACAATACCAAAGTGAATTTCTTAAAGATTGGAATAATGCCACTTAAGCTTTCACAAATCTCTAACTGTTAAAAACATATGAGTAAACGAACTTTGGTAGGCACGAAATAAAGAATGTCACATGCACTGCATTGAAAATCTTTAACTATTAAAAACTAATTATAAGATATCCATGCTCAAGACCCACTAGCCAAATTACTCAACATGTGAGTAAAAGGAACATGTGAAACTAATTATCAGTAAAAGAATGTTTTCAAATGTAATAAAAAAAAACTATATAACAACCAAATAATTGTCAAATTATAGAAATTATTTAATTCTGAAAAATAATGTGCATGTGATGAACTCAAGATACCTTCAAATGAAAATCATAAAAGAAAAACTATTGGGCATCACATATATATGCTAGCACAATTTCTGTGGGTTTCTCTATGGGAATCTAATTCTCATGTAGCTTACAAAATATATTGAATATCTTAAATTACTGCTTCCAAAAACCTTGGTCCCATGATTAATCCTAATTAATCTCAATCACAGACATTCTTTTTCAGATCCTTGATTGCCACAAACCACATATCACAGGTCAATGAAAGAAAATATTGAATCGATATGGTACACTTTCAGTTTGATTTATATACTAACATAAGTAGTTGCTCATGCATCGTAGATCAAAATATATACACAAGATTCATGTATCAAACAAAAATAGACAATACACGAGACTGAGGACTAGATAAGGATAAACAACACATATATCAACTAGATTAGACAAAAAAATTCAACTAAATACCCAAAAAAGATGAGGTTCAAAGAAATACAAGGCCTAGATCCAATTAGGGTTCAAACAAATGCTAAGGATTACATGTTATGCCCTAAGTGAGATGTGAACCACAAACTCATACACAACACACAAGGGTTTACAAGGCCCAAGTAGCCAAGTGAAATAATTGAATGCTTTCTATAATAATAATACCAATCACTCCATATTGGATTTTTAGATTTAAACTTTTCAACCAAGTGTTTGGACCAAACTATGAACTCTCCCAATCTCCCCCTTCCCCTTGAGTTAACATGCAACATATACGTAAATTATGCTTCAACCTCAACTAGTCTTTAAAACACATGCAATTTAAAGATGTTGATTATATTTCGACAATCAATTTGTATGAACAGTTAAGTACATATAGATATCAACAGATAGTATTTACTAATGAGTATAACATAATGGAAATACAACATTTGAGAGGACATGTGTTTAGAAAATACAATGTACTTGCGTCCATAGATTTATTCTGGAACTATCATTAAACACTATGGGGTCCCCTTTTCTTTTTACAGTTGCTATGGAGTGGTTGTAAAAAATGCAATCCACTCATGTCTCTCTCTCTCTCTCTCTCTTACCTGGGATAAATAATGGAACACGTGATTTGTGTATTTCACATTTTTTTATGCCGATGATGCCATTTTTTAGGAAGAATGGTATGAGGATAATGCTTGGAATATTGTGTGGTGGCTTCAATGTTTTTTCATCGCACCTGAAAAATTAATTTACATAAAAGTAAGTTAAATGGGATTGGAGTGTCGTGTCATGATGTACAAAATTTGCTGATTTTATAGGTTGTGACATCTCTATACTTCCATTTGTTTATCTTCGGATTCTAGTCGGAGCTAATATTGCTCGAGTTAATGAGTGGAAAGTTGTCGATAAATTCAATGCTAGTCTTTCAAACTAGAAAGTTAAAACTTTATCTGTTGGAGAAAGATTGACGTTGACGAAATATGTAGTTGGGAGTATCACCATTTATTACATGAGTATTTTTAAAGTGTCTGCGGCTTTCATTAACCACCTCTTGTTTATAAGAAACATATTCTTTGTGGGTGTGATATGGGTGAAAAGAATCTAACGTGGATAAAATGGAAGAAAGTTATAGTTAGAAAGTAAGATGGCGGGTTAGGAGTTAAAAGTTTATACACTTTTAATAGAGCCTAATGTACATATGGAAGTGGTGGCTCCTAAGTACTACTAAGGCGCTATGGGGGGATGCTATTAAAGAGATTTTTTGTGATAATGGTTGGTTGGGTTCTTTTATTCCTTGAGCCTGCGTTCGATTTGGACCGATATGTTTAGATCAAACAAAAGTCTCCAAGATAAAGAGGTTGATTTCGATGATTTTTTATCCAGAAAAGTGAGCAATGGATGTAATACTAGATTTTTGGAACGGTTAAACCAAAGAGCATGCTTTTTGACTGCAATCTTTCTTTTGGATGTCGAATAGGAACATACAATTAAAATCCAATTGGGTTGATTTCTTGCAAGACCCTATGCTTCACACAAATGATTTAGTACAACGAAATGCCTTAAAGAATATGGTTCGTGAAGCATCTGGCTTACTGATACTCTCATTCCCATTGAGAGAGTCGGCAAGCTAGCTTGCTCGCATTTTAGAAACGTTAGCGATCTTGCCCTTCCTTGAAATAGAGGTGAATAAACGTAATTGTTCTTGTCAGCCACTCTTTTTAATTTTCTAACATCTTGCTAGTTTCTTTTAACTTAATTATAAAATATTGTCGTTTCAAAAAAATCAACTTTTTAGAATAATGTGGAAATCCAAATAAATGACTTGTAATTCCAAAAATATAAATGGAACTCGTAAGGTTATTAAACTCATCAACAAAGAATGATCCATGTTATTCCCAATTTAAAGGTAAACAACTTCAAATGGCATCCTTACTATTTGTGTCTTTACTCTTTGTTTGACACACCTTATGCTTAAAGGCCTATTGAGTATTTAGTTACCATTCTACTTTTAATAAACAAACTTTAGAACCCTCGTACACAAATTTCATTTAATCCACATTTGATCATATCATTATAGTTAAATCTTTTAAAACTATGAAAAAACTCATGCAAAATCCAAACACCACATTACCAAAGTGAAATTCTTAAAAGATTGGAATAATGCCACTTAAGCTTTCACAAATCTCTATTGTCATATCACTTCTACAAAGATCATTTGACACAAGATTCATTCATTCATTCAACAGGACCCACAAAGATCCAAAATTTCTTCATCACTTCTTAAAACACAACACATTTCATCACATCATATCATTACCATCATCATCATCATTATCATCCCTTCAACAAAAATGGAGGAAGGTGTTGCTCCAAGACCCCCAACAGCTCCCGCCCCTGTCCCGCCTCCTCCATCACCACCCCACTCAACCGCTTCACCGCCTCCACCAACCGCCCCCTCAGCTGCTGCGACAACAAACAACCGCCCGCCTTCACACACTCCCTATACAGCGGTAAATACGCAATCGCCACCCTCAAAGGCCCCGGTAAATCCATCAAACTAATCGGAGATTCACCCCACTTTGAAATACTAACAAAATTAAAGTAATGAACCTCGCCGGAGCTCACTCCGGCGAAAAACGCCGCCTCCGACCACTCCTCCTGTAAAAACTTCCGGAGCTCCGGCGCCACCGAGTCGTCATCCGACCGCGAAATCGAATCCGCCACCGCGTACGTGGCGGCAGGGTCGCCGAGGAAATTGGATTGGAGGAGGAAGGCGACACCTTCTAGGGAGCCGCCGGAGCGTTCTCCGGCGGCTTTGAGGATTTCGATACTGAGTGCCGCTAGGACGTGTTGGGGGACGTGAGGGAGGAGATAGGCGGCGATGTCGACTTGGCTGGAGGAGGTGGCGGCGGTTAGGGCTAGACAAAGTTCCATGTCCCGGCAGCCTCGTTTCACGAACCACTGGACCACCTGCATGCAACCGCGTTCGGCAGCTCTCATTAGTGGGCCCAGGAAAGCCATCGCGTTTCCTTCTTCCACTAGACATTCCATGGTGGAGATTTTTGAGTAGTGGGAGGCAAATCCTAGGGCTAAATCAACGTCTACATCCAAGCTGTTTCTTTGAGCAATCTGGAATGGAATGGAATCAGAGAAGAGTGGAATGGAATCAGAGAAGAGTGGAATGGAATCAGTGATTCCATTCCATCCAAAAAAAAAAAAAAACTTACTTGCAATAAGATGCGAACAAGCTCTGTGCTTCCGAATCTTGAAGCTTCAAGAAAGCATTGATTGACATTATCGGCGCCTCCTTCTACTAACATGGCCAGCAAACCTTGAATTGCAGTTGCTGACATACCTGATGCCCAACCAGGATCAAAAGAACTAGAAAATAAAGTAAGAGGAAAACAAGCTGCATCGAATGCTTCTGTGAAATCCTTCCCTGTTAAATGATTCCCAGCAAGATCCAAGAAAGTCTTGAAAGCTGACAACTGTAATTGAACCTGAGCAGCGGAATTCTGATTCACTCTGTCTTTATTCCCTTGACAACGGGAATGGAATCCTATACATTTCAATGCCCATTCCGTGAACTTCTGGACTTTAGCACCAGCTTCGGCTTTTAACACTTCATCCCCATTACACTCCTGTAATCGTTCATGTAACCTAAAAGGAAAAAAAATCAGGGTGCTATCGATTAAATAACAGAAAAGGTGAAGAGGAAGAGGAAGAGGAAGGGGAAGGGGAAAAGAAAATTACCGTTTTGCCATTACGGATACGGTATCTGCAAGGCTCATAGTGCGGCTTTGACAGGCGGAAACACATGAAGCTAAGAAGGAAGTTCTTAATGCTGCTCTTGTGAAATCAGAAGCACCATTGGAGATTATGGTTTTGATTAAAGCAGTGATTCCATCGAGTTCATGATGGGTGCTCAAAAACCAAATTGAATCGAGTGAAATGCAGAGAGCATCGTTAAGTGTTTGTGGATCTGCTAAAGAGATCAAACTTTCTGCGAGTTCCCAATCATGGGAACTCACTGCACCTTGAAACAATCGCCCCAATTCAATCCTATCTTGTCTACTAAGTTTCTTCTCTTGTGAACATTTTTCAAATTTTATAGCTCCAGAATCTGTTGAGAGCAAGGTGGATTTACTTACAAGAGGTGATGATTCTTTTGAGAACACCACGTTTTCATCATCCCTGTCGTCTGATTTGCAGGTTACAGTATCGTTATTTTGAGTCTCTATTCTAGTTTCATCGGTTTCCATCTCATCAGATTCATGGTTTGTATGATTTCCTAACAAAAATAAGGCTTCCTCATCTCCCACGGCTGCCACAACTTTCTTTTTATCCATTTTTCTAAAAGCTCTTGATCAATTAACAGCTTGAAGATGATAAAATCAATCCCTTGAAGCAGCAGCAGGATGCATCCCAAACGTTGATTGTTTTTCTCTCCGATAAAAAATCGCAGATGTAACAGATTTGATTTTGATTTATTTCCCTCGAGCTTATCTCAATAAACAGTTTGCAACAACTAAAGAGATCCGGATATCGATCTTACGTTCAGCGAAAACGAAACCCAAATCGGTTCGAGATTCCTGTTTGTTCACGGAACGATCTAGGTTAAACGCATCGTGAAATTTGTAGAAAAAAGAGATGCTTGTAAGTTGTACCCCATACGCAGAAACAATTTCCCTAAATTTAGAACGTATCACACAAGGGGCTTCAAGAGTACAAGCAAAGAAATCCAAAAGATCATAAAATCCAGAAAACCCGGTCAAGTCCCAACCTTATCTTACCAATTACCGACAATCATCGTCCGTAAAAATGGAATCCAAGAACACCCGAACTACCACAAGAATCTGGGTTCCGTTATCTGAATGAATAGACACCAAAAACGAAAAGTTCTCAAAAGGGAAGTTGAGAAGATGGATGAAAAAAACAAATGGGCATAGATGATTAGATTAGCGATAAAAATTAACAACAAACCTGATAGATCGATCGACCGATTGATTGATTAGGGTCGAAGGAGAGTGCGTGTGTGTGAGAGAGAGTCACCTTGGCTGGATGGTATTTCTGCAAATGAGTTTCTCGCCTCACCTTTACCTTTCCCCACTGCTCTCTCTCTCTCTCTCTCTCTCTCTTTCCCCCCTCTCTCTTTCTTTCTCTCTCTACGTTAATACATCTTTTTAGGTTTTTTTGGTTTCTTGAAAGAATATATGTGGTGAATTTGAGAAGTCTGTAAATTTGTTGTTTGGTTTGAAAAAATTTAAACCACAGGGTTTGTTTGGTCCATTCGTTTGTATTGGAAGATCATTCATTTTGATTGAATAAAACTTAAAAAAGTTTTTGATAAAATTAGTTGGTAGTTACAGATTTAAAGATAAAAGTTGTAATTTTTATTTATATATTAATGTTTAATAAAATTAGTTAAAAGTTTTTGAAATATTATGATATTTTTTTAAAATTCTAAACAGAACATAATTTAAAGAAAAAAGATATATATGTCCATTTACAAAAATATAAAAAAGTTTTTTTGTTTAAGTTAAACATATCGAAGCTTTTCAAGTTTTTTTTTTTTAAAACTAAAACTAAAATCTTAAAAACTGTATGGCTGTGTGTACCCTAAAACTAAATTTTTTAATAATGTGGTCCTATAAATAGTTTACGGGGGATATAAATCCTTTTGTTCTTTTTGCTTCTTTTAAACGATTTTCTTGTTGTTTACGTTATTTGTTTTCTCATGTTTGATATGAATTTTACTATTTATGTGACATTTATTTTATTTGATGATCATTTTAATCAACCATATATTTCATATATTTATAAAAGGAAAACGATAGTGATTAGGTTTGACTTTAGTTGCGTATTCATGAAATTTTGTAGTTTACATGTACATGAAATGAAGTCATGTTAAATAATTTAATATTAAAGTGATATTAATAACTATAAATCTAATAAAATAAAAGTTTTAATTGTATTATTTATTACTTTGGGTTTTAAATAATTGAAGATGACATTGACATCAGAAACGACCATATTACATGTTATTAATTTAAAATAATAATTTAACATATAAAAATTTATCTGATCAATAATAGCTTTGATATTTTCATAAATAATTAAATTTCTAAATGTATCGACACAAGAACATGGATAAAAACTTTTATGTTGTATTTCATGCATTAAAATCGATATAATACATAGATATTATTTTATTAATACATGTTTACGGAAGGAGTAAAAGAGAATGGACCAAGGGTTTGATTCGAAATAATACATCGATATTATTTTTAAGTATTAAAATATTATATTGGTCACTTGATAAACTTTAAAATGTTATATTTATCATCATCTTGTCTTTTTAAACATTTCTTAATGATTTTAAATTATTATTTTAATGATTTGATTAGTATACCCTTTTAATTGTTATCATTAAAAAACTTATATTATACCCTTTGATATCAGATTGAGTTTAGGCAGTGGTGGATAGACCAAGCCTTTATTATATGCTTAAAGTTTTGAACAAACGATTAGGGACAATGACTCAATTTGATTCACTTGCGACTTGATATAGACGTGTGTTGACGGCAATATCAAACCTTAAACTTTTACGAGTCACGTAGTCGTGACTTAAGGCGACAATTTTATATATAATTAATAATTTATATCTATTTTCTTATATATATATATATATATATATGTGTGTGTGTGTGTGTGTGTGTGTGACTTAAGACAATATTTTGTTAAAGTTCGGCGTCCAGTACAAGCCTCAGAGCCATGGCATGTCATGACGAGCTTTTAGAACCTTGACCATATTTGTAAATTGTAGATGATTGATCATTGAACCCAATAGAAGGTTAAGGGATTTGAAGACCATGGGAAGATTATTGTAGACGCAAGCTGTTAGGAGCAGGATCCCAAAACCATATTCAGGATCCTTGATATTAACAAAGCCTTAAGATCCTTAAACATACCTCAAGATCCTAGTCATTATCGTTATAATTTCCTAACACTTTGAACGGTTATATTTCTATGGGCTAATTACTAATCTAGCCAAATTAAGAAAGCAATTAACCATTTTTAGCCAAAAATTAGGAATTGTCCAAAAATAGCCCGCAAAACCGTAGGTTTTTTGTCACACCCCCGAACCGAAGTGTACGGCGGAAACATCCAGGGGTTGAGGTGACTTCATCTTGTAATATCATCACAGTGAATATAATGGAAACAAAGCATGCATCATCATCACACGAGAAATAATACAACGATACTAAGTTTACATCATTGTAATTGTTTACAAGAGTTACATCCCAAAATATCAATGTTTATAATAGCAACGAAATGCAACAAATTTCCACATGACCTTGATGTCCACCTGTTTAACGGTTTCATGAGAATACAAGTTATTTGGAAAACGGTCAATATATATAATGTTGGTGAGTTCATAAGTGTATTTGTATGAAAAATTTGTATCACTTTGTAGACCTCAGAAAATCCGATATTTTCTGTAAAAGAAGTAAATGGTTTGAAAGCTTTGTATCAAATCTTGTATTAATGCATGTGTGTTTTGAAAATGTATAAGGAAAATATTCTAGAAAATCTCATGTTTTCTGTGTTAGTAGAAGGTGATGTATGGTATAAGTTTTTCCCAAAAAATCCGATATTTTCTGCTTGCAAAAGTGTTGTAGAATTTATACCCATAGACCGTAAGTTGGTGTTTGTATAAAATTGTAATTGTAGAATTGTTTATGTATTCCGTAAATTTACAGTGGAGTTAATTTCTTTGTAAGTCGTTATAACCATACTTGATAATAACTGATCCGTCCGTCATGACGTTTTTCAAACGCCGACTTGTTTAAGGTAATGTTTGTCACCCTAGACTGGCCTAGTCTAACTGTAGCGAACAGCTCAGATGTGGGGTGTCAACCCCATACAGATCTATACACAAAATCTCGCTCTCCCTCCAGGAGACTCTGGTTATAACTACAAGCTAAAGGTTGTACACTAGGTAAGTACGAATGAATGAACGTGTCTCACAAGAACCTTAACTATATTTACGCGAATATTGTATCACACCGTTTAATGTAGTAATTAATGCTTTCGGGTATGTTTTAAGGTTGCAAAGCCCAACGAGTATATAAATGGACCACAGAGGCCCAATAAACATGTAAGTGTATATTTCAGGCCCAATAGGCATGTATATGGGCTACAAAAGCCCAATAAACATGTAAGTGTATATTCCAGGCCCAACAAGCATTTATATGGGCTACAAAGGCCCAATAAATATGTAATGTATATTTCAGGCCCAACAAGCATGTATATGGGCTACAAAAAGCCCAATAAACATGTAATGTATATTCCAGGCCCAATAAGCATGTAAATGGACCACTAAGGCCCAATAGAAGTGAGTTTGACGTAATTAACTCGTTTGTTATTGTATTGTTCGTTCTTGTTCAATTATTTACCAAAATGATACAAAATGCCCACTTTTTGTAAAAAAAATACATTTTTGGTCCTTAAAACCGAAAATTTACAATTAAGGCACATTTTGGGTAAAAATGACACTTTAGGTCCCTTAAGACCAAAAGTTTATATTTTAGGGCTTGTTTTAAACGAAATAGCATTTCTAGCCCTCTTTTATTAGAATTTACACTTTTGGCCTAATTTTTATGAAAATTGACATTTTCGGCCCAATTGTGTATAAATTTATCTTTTTGGCCCAAGTTTAAATAAATTTACATTTTCATCCCTTTTAACCGAAAATTTACATTTTTGGCTCAAATTTGTCTAAAATGACAATTTAAATCATAAAAGCCAAAAATTTACAAGTTTAGCCCATAAAACCGTGAAGGCACACTTTGAGGCCCATTTTGTGATAATCTACACTTTTGGCCCTTTTAAAAACATGAATATCATAAAGACCCCTTTTTGTTTAAAAATGACTCTTTTAGTCCTCTTAAAACCGTGAGTTGACAAAAGATCCTCACTTCTTGTTTACTTTGTCAATTTTTTGGCCCTTTACATGATTTTTCTTAGTTTCAAACATCCTTGAAATGATTTAATCCTTTCATTTTCATATTATGTTGCATCTAGTAGTTTGTTTCACAATACCATCATGTGTTAGCATATTTTTCGAGTTTATGAAGATTTCAACACATAATCACAACACAAATCATGAAAAACACACATATACATGCATATACACATAGATCTACACAAAGCAACTTGTATTCTCCCCCAAAACAAAGTAAAAACCGAAAATAAGGGGTATGAACTCACATTGGGTTGATGGATTCGGTTTTTGAAGAATATTGTAGAAAATTTCGGTCCTAGCAAGCTCCTTGAAGGGATTTTCGAGTTCTAGGAAGTTTTAAGAAACAAGAGTCATAAAATGGTGTGATTAAGAGTAATAAGTTTAACATAAACATGAAGTCAAACTTCTTGAGTGGAAGTAGCTTACCAAAATGAATGGATTTTGATGGATTATCCTTGGACTCACACAAGTACACACGAAAATTTGGAAGAATGGATGGATTTTGTTTGAAGTTCTAGAGAGGAATTTAGTGACTTGGAAGTGAAAATGGAGGTGGTGGTGGGGGTTCCCTTGGCCGAAATTAATGAAGAGAAGAGAAGAAGTGATTGGGTGGTTAATACATGGTGGGTTAACTCCTAATTGTATAGATATTTGTTGGGTAAAATACATGGATATACAAAATGTAATATTGAGGTGTCAAGTGTTTGAATTAGTTAAGGTTTTTTTTATATACATGGGCCGAGAATGAGAAGGAGGAGAAGATTGGGTATTGGGCTTGAATACAAACTGAGAATATGATAGCCCAATTTAAAAAATTTCAGCTCATTGGGCCCACATATGTGTTTACGGCCCAAAATGACAAAGGAAATGAGTTTTCGGCCTATTAAGGTCAATGAAAGCAAAGTGAGACATTTTAGGCCCAATAAGGCCCATAAAAGTCCTATGGCCTAAAATGCTATAGTTAAATGAATGTGGGTCCATTTAGGGCCCAAATGAGGTTCCTTAACCCAAATAATCAAGTTGTGGGTTTATTGGCCCATTAGGCCCAGTATTATGTTTGAACCGGGAAGTTAAGGTTACGACTCAAAGTCGAGTGTATGAAATGTATTGAATTAGGT